GTTTTATAAACCTTTGGAGTTATCTGAAGTCCTGACTGGCCTAATCTGGGTGATTTCAGGGTTGATAAGTTCTGCTATCTGTCTATTTGAGACAAATTTTGGTTTAGTATGAAGTGGGTTGCAATTGGTTCTCAACGAAGATATCCACTATATTGTTCCAAAGCATAAATGCGTTTTTATTCCGATTGTTATTATGTTCTAAAGGGCATTTAGCATACTGATAAAATAGGGCACTTAGTATGTTTAATATGCAAATATTTATCCATGGGTTTCATTTGATTCTTGTTAAGAGGTTGCCATACAACTTTGGCTAAACAGGCTAGGTGGTTGATTTATCATCCCTAATGAGCATATAATATTTCAGGAATTCATCATCATTTATCAGCTACATGAATCCTGTTTTTCCATTCCATTCTGTTTAGTGCCATATCCATTGTCAAATATGAGCTCTTAAATCATTTCTTGCTACTTCAAAATCCATGTTCTTTTTTGTTTGAGCCTAGCCCTTCTAGCCCCTTCAATGTGCAACATATTGCCTTGTGGATGCTGTAGATGGTCTTCTATATGTGTGTTCAAACTATCTTAGTCTACTTTCTCTCATTTTATCACCTATTGGAGCTATTCTTAGTTTCATTTGAATGACTCCATTTCTAACCTTATCCTTTCTTGTTTTTCCACTAACCCATCTCAGGATAATATTTCAGGAATTCTGGATCCGTATTCTTTATTTAATTATTATTAAATTAAACAAAATAAAAGAGTGAACTTATGCTTATTCTTATGCTATTCTAAATCATCATCCACATTTTCTCTGAATTAATTTTGTGTAGTCATTATTTGTTATTTCTCTTCTTATTCGTGTGTATGTGTGTGTTTTAAATTTTAATAGGTTCTAATTTGTTGATTTTCAATAAGTGGTCCATCTCAATATGTGACATATTGGCTGCTGATTTAGAGGTTTGCTTTTGTTAAGGCTTTTGAAATGAAAAATATGCATGGTATTTAATTCCACTTTAAGTCCAATGTTCCTTACCTGGTGTTCCCATCCATGACAAGTATATAGTTAGGTTGGATTAGTTTAAGCTATGCAATTGATAGGTTGGGTTGGTGTTTCAGTATGATTGTTGTTGGCTCTTGAGATGGTAATAGTATTGTTAGGGTAATTTCATAGTTCCAGCTATGATATATGAACCTTTTGGATGTAGAAGGTGATTTTTACAGACTATATATAATAGCCTTTTCCATTGGTGAACATTGAAAGGAAATGAAGAGTAACATATCATGCATATTCTGAGGATATAAAAGAAGTTATTTTTTGCCAGTCATGTAAGGCATTTTACTGCACTCTAATTTTTAAGTAGCACTTCTACCTACTATTCCTAGGGGTTAATTGATGATATTTTGCTTTAAACTTGGGACCTCCATAAATTAATGATATGAGACCATAATCTTGGTAATTTCCATGTGGCTTAAAATGGTTTAGTCAGTTTAGCTTGGTGGTGCACAACCAAGCATGCTTTACAACACTTATTGATTGTAGATTAAAAGATGAAAAATGTATATTGAAGCAGAACTAAAAGTGTATTTTTGGCATGGGATAATTCACTCATGTGATGATGAATTGTTACCCTTTTCTAGTAAGGATGAATTTGATGCTTCAGTAGCAAATTTTAAGGAATGAAAGTTTTTTATGAGTAAAATGTAAGATCATCATCATCTTAGGGGCTATTTGGCAAGTCTTTCTAGGTAGATCTTTCAAGTTTCAACAGCCCAATAGACAGGAAGAGGCATTGAGCTTTTGGGGTCCTGTCTTTAAAGACTGAGACTGTTTGGTTTGCGTCATGGCAAGGTTCAAAATATCAATACACCCGTCCGTAGCTTTTTTTTTTAAATATTTTTTTTAGTTTTTTTAGTTTTTTTTTTTTTTTCAAATCTGGTACAGAGAGGCCAGTTTAAGGTCCGTCCACCCCCTGAACCGGTCGAAACCCCGATATACCCTCTGTAGGGGTGTATCGGGAAGCTCCTGATACGATACACATCGATACTTTGAACCTTGCGTCATGGTCTACCAGTTTGTTAAAAACAAATGGAATGACTATTTTCAGCACGGAAAGATCAAAAGCTTCATTTGAAGCTTCCCAAATTTTGGCTTTTTCGGTCTTTCTGCATGCTCATCGTTAGGTCTTTCGGTCTACACAGTACCAAATGGAAAAGACCATTTTTTGGCTTTCTGTAGACCGAAAGACGCACCAAAAAGATGTGCCAAGCACCACATTAGTCTTGTCCCAACTATATGGGGCTGGCTGTGTTTACCATTCTGTTCTGTTCAGTGTCATCCATTGTCAAATTATGAATGCTTAAATCATTTATTACCACTTCTGCCCCAGTCCTTTCTGGTGTGTTAGGTCTTCTAGTCTAGGGCTGCAAATGGTATCTGATTGCCTGAATTCAAATTTGAATTCAATCCCATTAAGGATGATCCGAATTCAATCCATTTATAATTAGATCAAATATGGATCCACGTCCACCCCTATCTGATCCAATACCAATTTGGTTAGATTTGAATATGTATACTCATTATATACATAAAATTTATATTGTATCTATTAGTAAAGATGGGTTGAATGTTGTGTACTTTTATTAAATTATCAAGGGTCAAATTTCATACAAGTAATTTTCAATTAATTTTGTTCATGAAATACAAAATCAAGGTAATTAGTTCATTTTATTAATAACATGTAATATTTTGACCATTATTTAGTTTAATTTATTTATACTATTCAATGCCTGATTGGAATCTGATTTCGATTTGAATTGACATAAACCCAATGGATAAGATCCAATTTGAATATAAACAAATCAAATTTGGATCTACATATATCTGATTTGATTTGATTTAATTCGCTTACAGTCCTATTGTAGCCCCTTCAGCTTGTAGCAACAGATCACTTCTTCTAATGGGTGTTGTAGATGGTATTCTATGTATGTGATCAAACCAACTCAGTCTACTTTAGGGCTGTCAATTGGTTGTATCTGGTTTGGGGTAGGGTCTCCCAGCCCTGAACCAGTTACTAATCTGGACTAAATGACCTAGAACTGTCCCAAATAATAATTGGGTCTGATCCGATAGACTTGATTTTATATATATATATATATAATTATTTAAATAATAAATTAAAACTTGCTTTTTCATAATATAACCTTAATGAAAATTATCTTATATATTTTCTATCAAATGTGCCTTTTACATAAAAACTATAAGAAAACATGGAAACCTTTATATATTAATGTTACTAACAAAATAATCAGTTCGAAACAAGCAAGAACCAGAATCTACTCATTGACAGCCCTAGTTTACTTTCTCTTATTTTATCACCTATTGGAGCTACTCCTAGATAATGTATAATAGAAAAATATGTTCCTCATCCCAATTAATGGCAGAAGTGTGTATGGTGGAACACCATGTTTCTTTTCTTTCTTTTTTTTTTTTTTTAACCAGGGGGTTGGTTGGGTAGCTAATATACATGTTAAGAAGTTATCTTAACTAGGGAGTTCTAGGTAATTGGCCCATTTCATTTTATGGAACTTTAAGGGGGTTTGATCTTTATGATGGTGAATTTATTCTATTAGACAATGATATGTTTTTTTTTTTTGAAATAGCAAGGGTAGAGTTGTTGTGGTGAATAGCTGATGAAGGGTAGAGTTGTCCTGACCTGACGTGACCCAATTATATAGTGTCTGGGTCTGCATTATGTCTCCTGATTATAATTGGGTCAGGTTCAGTTTTGGTCGTTCCAAACTGATTAAAACTTATGGACTCCAATTTGGACTAGGAAACTGACTCAAATCAACTTCTAATCGCTTTAAAACTAAGACAAATTGATAGGGACACTTAAATAAGGATTCTAGCTCCTAAACAACTCCAAAACACCTTACTTATCCTACTAAAACCAAATTAGTTTAAGGAAACCAGAAATTACTAAAAATAGCAAGTCATGCTTTTAGTATTAATAGTAATTACATGAATACTATAAATAGTAAGTCCAAAAGTTGCCATAATTAATAATTACATGAGCATCTAACAGAATTCATGGAAACACAGACCACCAGAACCACAATCCACCAAGACCACATTCGACAATCACCCAAGAGCACTCAAATGCTACAGATGCAAATATGGATCCAAGGAAAAATCTATTGTGAAGCAAATAAGTTTTCCAATTCTTGTACTAATTTCAGAATTTTTGGGCGATAGGGATGTTGGTATTTATTAGTGTTTATGGCAACTTTTGCACTTACTATTTAAAATATTCATGTAATTCCTATTAATACTAAAAAGCATGGCTCACTATTTTTAGTAATTTCTAGTTTCCTTAAACCAAGTTTTAGTATTTCCTGAGTAGGGGTGCAACTTGGGCAACCCGACTTGCAGCCCTCCTTATAAACTATATTTCCTGACGTCTTGGTGAATGAATGAAAGATGTTTTATTCTGAAGCCTACTTAATATTAAAAAGAAAAAAGAAAATTGATGTTCTGTAATATATAAATCCAGTCACTGGGGTTCCTTTTCAGGACCCTGAATGGATGGAGTTCGTAACTTGTTTCTTTTATATGGTTTTACCAACATATCTGTGGTCGCAGTTTTACGAAATATATCTGTGGTCGCACATGCATCTAATTTGCTTCTATGTCTTACTTCTCACTTGAACTAAATTCATGCTTGAGCATATTTGATTGGTTAACACTTGTGCACTGGAATCTTATGCGTGTATTATGCTGTTGTTTTGGGGGGGTATTGATTGGCACTGTTTGTTTTATCTTTTGTTTACGAGGGAGTCTAGTTTCCAGTAGGCCGAATTCATCGCCATTTGAAGTCAAGGATTGCAGCTAATGGACGTGTGGGGGCCACGGCAGCTGTCTACTCTGCAGCAATCCTTGAATACCTGACAGCAGAAGTATTGGAGCTCGCAGGAAATGCAAGTAAAGATCTTAAGGTGAAGCGTATCACTCCAAGGCATCTTCAGCTGGCCATTAGAGGGGATGAGGAGCTGGACACATTGATCAAGGGCACAATTGCAGGAGGTGGTGTGATCCCTCACATCCACAAGTCCCTCATCAACAAGTCATCCAAGGATTGAAATCTTGTTGGGTTCTTCTGTATTTTATTCCTTTACTGAACCATGGTTTATGATGTATGCTTGTATGTTGATGGGGTTGGATGGACTTTGCTCATTGTTAATTTAGTGTTTGTGCATGTCTCTATTGGCTAGAATCTAGTGAGGGTCCTCAACTGTACTTTAATTTTAGTTTTACTGGTAAATTCTAATTTGAACTAATGGATTGTTTAATTAGGGAATGGGAGAATTTATTTGTTATATGGTTTTCCCATTTGCTATTGATGTATTGGGTGGGTTATGCATTTGATACGATAATAGCTAGTTATTTTTTCATTTCTGCTCAAGTTGACAGGAAAAGTTGTCCTTTAGAGAGAAGTATGGTGGGTTTGGGAGAACTGAGAAGGAAAGAGTGTCAAATAGGTTAGTGTGGGGGTGAACTGAATCGAATTTCTTATTTGCTTGTTTTGGTCAGAAATCTTTATTTTTTTTTGTTAATTGAATTTTCAAATGTGAAAACTGAAGCCGATAATTGAAATTCCTAAAAACAAAAATAATCAAACAAAAAAAATTCAATTTTAACCAAATGGTGCTCAACTGCTCATCCTTAGTGAGTGGACTTGATTAGGGACATAAAGGCTCAAAGTATCGGTGTCACAAGTTTTAAGAGATATAATAGGATATAAGAAAAATTGAAAATAGTGAAGAAGTTAAGATGGAAAAATCTATGATGCGGAAAAGATACGATGGAAAGAATTTTGACCAATATAAACACACTCATGAATTTTGATAAATAACACCTTATTTGCTACCACCTTTGTGATTCCAGTTTACTGGTTAGTTGTTTTTTAGATATCATATCTTTTCCATATCATGATTGAATCCAATTAAGATATATGTAAATAAGGTTGGTATAAACACTAAACATAACGCTGGCTTTCATGATTAAGAATAACACTAACCATATGAGAAATATATATTTTGAATTTATGTAAGCTATGAAGGATTGGGATGTGGCATTAAAGTAAAATATGCATGTATGCCTTAACGGTGCCAATATAAATTTCATTACTATCTGAAGAAAATATTTAATTTTAATTTTTAAAAGGTTATTTTTAAAGCATTTATTAATAAAAGGTGGATTAGGAGTTAAAATTTTCTTCATTTTTTTTTAAACTAGTTGTTATGAGGTATAGTAGCAAGAACTCATTTCTCTCGTAGGGGTGGCTTAGGTTTAACTCTGTTTACCAACTTATATCTATCGTAAAAATAATACATGCAGTCATGCACAATTGCTCATATGCAAGGCAGGGTCAGGCCTAAAGCTGAGGCTCAACACTGAAATTTTTGGGCTTTATGTGAGCCTGGGCCTTGACGGTAAACCTAGGCCATACTTGGAAATTCTTGGGCTGGGCTAAAAATGATCACCGCTAGTAATTGGTATCAATATAAATGAAACTAGTTAATGGGGGTGTGAGTGGAATGGAACCCCCTATAGGTGTGGGCAAGATAAACGTGGATGCTGCAATGAGACTTGACTTTGCTTCAATTGGGCTCATTGCTAGAGATTATTTTGGTTGTTTCGTATACCTTTTTGTGGTCCAGTGCAAATTGGAACTAGAGTTTTTTATTTTTTTGGTCAAGGGCTTTCTTTTGCCTGACATATACGTGCACCCATGGTGCATTGGACGTGTCAGCATTTCAAAATTGATCCTAAAGTTAACGGGATTTCATCCGTTATCGGCTCAAACCCAGTCGAACCGGACACAAAAGGAATAACTTCTTTCGGGGGATTTCATTCAAACTCCATTTCATTTCCTCCTCTCCTTCGAGCCCTAATAATGTGAAATCCACCGGCCGACGAGAAATCCGGCAGTAAGCAAAATATATATATATATATATTCTCACTCTCATGAATTTCCTCTTCTTTCAACCACCGCAATAAGTTTTTGCATCACAGTTTCTACAATAAGTTTTAGAGTCAACTTGTGTTGGTTGTGATGATGGATCGACTGAATTTTTACTTGCTTCAAGTTGGTGGGTCAGATTTTGGTGGTTTTATAGGCATAGGGTATTTTCTGGCAGTGGTCCTGCAGGTTCTACAACTGGGGCTTGTTCATCTGATAATGTAATCGTTGTTTGCTGTTTCATCGGGCTTTACAGCCTCAGGTGGAGGATCTGCTAGCAGGTGGGTCAGTTTCGGCTAGCTTCTCAGTTGCTATTTCAACGTTGACGGCATCTGCTGCTGTTGCCTTTGCAGAGGTAGGTGCTTCAACCTTTGGTAGCGGTTTCAATCTTTCAAAGGCACTACAGGCAGCTGGAACTCAGGGCAATTGCAGAGGTAGGTGCTTCCCATTTTCTTAATTTCCGTTTTTTGTGGTTGATTTTACAATTCTATTTAAATGTGTAACACCAAAATGGACCCTCTTCCTTCCCTTGTATATTTCCTCTCATTCAGGGCAAATATCACGTCCTTTTATATTTTGCCTTCTGGTTGGTTGTATTGAAGAAGAAGAAGAAGGGAAGAAGGGGAATTCTTACCTCTAGAATTCTTTCCGCCATCGGTGGCTACTACGTTCATGGATGCCGGTGGGTGGTAAGTGGCCGGTGGGATGCTTCCCTGTGTTAGGTTTCGGAGGAGAGGAAGAAACGGGAGGGAGTTCTAATGAAATCCATTGAAAGTAGGCTTGTAAATGGTATTCGAAAATCCGAATTTGAATCCGAGATTCAGTATAATTGAATCGAATATTCAGTTGAATTAGGATATATATTGATCCAATCTGATAAATATCCGAACCGATTATATAATATAATATAATATAAAGGTTAAAACAAGAAAATGAGAAATGAGTTTTTCAGTCTTTTGAGTTTGAAGTTTGAACCTTACCCTCTCTCCGAAGATTCAACTTTCAAAACCCTAAAACCCTAACCCTCCGTCACTCCCTTCGTTGTCGTCGGATGCCACCCGAGCAACCACCATTAGTCCATCACTGGTCACCGCCCCTCATCGTTCCAGCAACCACCAGCCCTTCTTCGAACGCCATTGTCACTCATCTAGTCATCTTTCCTCTCACCTTTATCTCTCTTCTCTCAGAGTCTCAGTGAGACAGTGACTCGCTGCCCAAGCAACCACCATCATCGACAGCAACGTCAGTGATAGTGGTCGAGCACCGGTCACCAGCCATAGCTCAAGCTCAAAGCGTCGTCTCCTTCGCTGTTGCTCAAGCTCAAGCAACCCTCAACTGTCAAGCATCACAAGTCTTATGTTGCAGCCCACGACTGCTGCCGGGAACCCATTGCATTCGCACCGCCAGGAACCCATGCCGTCACACACTCACACTTGGCCCACTGTCGGGAACCCATGCCTGCCGCCGTTAATCATATATAAAAATAAAATATATATAATGCATATTTATTAATCTATAATATATAAAAATACTAATGAGCAGAAATTTTTTACTTCAACCGTCAGAAGAATGCATATTTATTAATCTATAATATATAAAAAATAAAAAATATATATTATATACATTAATATAATATATATATATATATATATATATATATATACCAATTGATTCTATTAATCATTTGTTTTTTATATTGATTAACGGAAACTGAACTGATACTTTCGATTTTTTAAAAATATCGAGCAAAAATCAAACCAATCAATTCGGTTAACTGAATTTTTAGTTTGATTTCGATAGATTTTCCAATTTTTCTTACTCACCCCTAGTCAGTACATATTACCCCATGAGGAGGTTGAAAAGTTGATTGCATCCTCCCTAGAGTTTCTTTGATATTGCTGATAAGGATATGGAGCGGGTGAATAATCTTTTGACTTGAAATGCGTCTAGGGTTCAATGTACATTAATTAAGTGATGAGCGGATATTTTTGACTTCAACCGTCAGAAGAATGCATTATTAATTTGGTTGATATCAGGAGGTCCGGGGACAGTGGAAAAAGAATGAACTTACATTTGCTGGGTTGAAACATCTTTTAATGGGTGCTCGTGGGCAGATTATTGCATTAAATTATTAGCAAATTTTGATAGGGAGTGAGCCGCTTGGGGCCTGTTTGGCAAGTTCTCACATGTTTCTACTTTTTTAGAAATTTCTGTATTAGAATAAGAATTTTATTTTTTATTCTTCGAAAATAACAGAAGCATTTGACAAATTGTTGTTTGAAAATGGATTTTTATTCTATATAAATAGAAATAACATTTAGATAATGAAACTATTTCTTACCATCGGTTTTGCAAATCCATCCATTTAAGCCTAAAATTAAAAAAAAAAAAAAAAATACATGTGTCACATGGCGGGAGGACACGACAACTAGAAGAATGCTCTGCGATTGATGGGGGAGAGGGACACATGTCAAGGATTGTCTTGCGACGACAACAACAGGCTTTGGGTGGTTAGCGGGTACGGCACTGAGAGCCAAGGGTGATTCAAATCAGACGCCAAAGTGCTACGACCTTGCTCTTGGGTCTTGGTCCAAGCTAGAGGCGGTGTGGCCCTTACCCAATGCCAGCCCAAGGGCTATCGCTGCTACTCCTAGCAGATGCAGATGGTGGTGCTTTGTGAGTGACGGTAATGGAGGAGAGCAGAGAGGGGTTATGGAATATGACGTGAAAGAGAAATATTGGAAGGTAGTGACCTCCATTCCTGATAGCGGCTTGAAATCACCCCCGTGGGTAGCAACTCTTCGAGGTAGAGGAGGAAACTAAGATCGGATCTTTATGATGGGTTCCGACATTGATGGGTTGAACGGTGGCAACAGCTGCTGACTTGTTGATGGCCGACAGTTGAGAGAGACTCAATGGTTATTGAACATGCGAAACCAATGATGGCCGACAGCTGAGATTCAACGTCTGCTGCTGACCTACTGCGCGTTCTCAGGCAACCTCACCAACTTAGCTCCCGCGATGTGTTCTGGTCGATCACCATCTAGTTCTTGACGCAGCAGGAGTTCAGCTCTCTTCTGGGTTGTGCAGCCGCAGTGAGGTTGAACGAATGAGGACTGCTGCATAGGGCTTGAGTTTATATTTTTGCACGAAATTACAATAGCATCCATTCCTTCACGTGGGAACGTCTCACACGTGTTCGTTATTAGACATGAACGTTGTGGGAACTATGCATTTTTAAAGAACGTGTTCTTTGAGAGCATCGATTTGTCACTCCCAAAGAACGTATTGTTCTCTAGTGGGAATGACTTGTTTCTTTCATTTTTTTTTGTCAAATGCGTTTTTATTCTGCGAGAATTCTGAGAACAGTAAAAACACTTTCGTGGAACGTTGCCAAACGGGACTTTGTTTCCAGAACGTGGAACAAAGGAGATATATACGTGGATTGAAAACTCCGTAAGAGGTTCTTGCAATCAGCGATTAGAGTTCTATTTCGCCAAGGGATGTCTTGTAGCTACATCCAACAGGAGGGAAATCACCCTTTGTGTGTCGCCTTCAATGCAGATATGGGACAGGTTCAGGTCCAAGGCCATTTGTGAACTAGCTTTGAGTGCGCTAGCTTATGTTGTCTCAAGATCGCCTGTTTTCCAATAACAAGTTTACATCTTGCTTTCGAACAGTGCCACAGGAGAAGAGAAAATTTGCTGAATGAAGAGATTTCATCCTCGGGGGGTGTCCTTGATCTGATCCCACCAGAAAGAAAGCCATCCATCAAGGTTTTGGTAAATGGAATTATCCATTCTAATGGCCAAGCAAGAGCCAAACCATACTGGCCGAATGAGATTGCAGTGAAGAAAGAGATGATTGTTTCATTTCCTTTCGTGCCTTCAACATTTCTTTTCCTGATTTCCAATGAATAAATACAATGGACGCGCATCACCTAAGTGGCACGAATAGGGACATGAAAGTGGTTTGTTTTTTTTCTGTAAAAGTAAAACTAATATTACAATAGTTAAGGAAGTCAAGAATTCCAAATATGCAATTAAGCATTTGGCAAAATGATAAAACTTCAAATTACAAAAATCTGATGAATTGATTGAATATAAAGAGTCTGGGAACACATCAAAGCGGTGCTAAGAGGTGAAAATGGATATTAGGAGGGTTTGTTGAGATAGATGGACGCTGTTGAAAAGGTAAAAGATGAGCCTGGCCCAATATATGAATTACCAACAAAATCTCCCAACTCCATTTCAAATTGATGATCTAAAAAATATCATTTTCTTTTCCGCCATTCCAAAAACAAGGGAAATGGTAAACAAAGTTTAAATACTCTGTTTTCCTCATCTGATAAGGTGGTTGCATTTTGAGAATACCTCAGAAAAGAAAATATGACAAACTAAAAGTTGTAGTTTTGACTCTCAGTGCATATGTCACGTGTCATGGTATAATGTGGGACATGTATCGTTTGCCAACAAAACTAAATTCATTGCAATAGCAACTCCATGGGCATGATCCATGGAGTTTGCTCAACAAGCAAGGTATATTGCAAAATGATCCAAAATCTACGATGGAGGCCAATTGAGACAATCATGTTTGACAAAGCAGTGATAAAAGAGAAGGAAATCTGAGGACTTGAAAAAATGTGGTTTTTTTAGTAAAAAAGAAACACAACCTAAGACATTTGGCATAATTTATACATCAGGGGAAAAACACATCCTAAGACATTTTTTCTATATTTATCTTCATCATGTAAGGAGCTGCATATAAATAATAATAATAAAAAGGAAAAAGGACAAAATGGCATACTCCAAAATGTCTCCACGTATTGTTTATATCATGTAAAAACCGTCTCCCTGGGTAACAAAGGCAATGCCTTACAATTCTCATTAGATCTAGAGGAATGTGTTGGAATGGTCAAAAGTAACTATAATGAACATATGAACACAAAGTTTTAAATTGTTGTATGATATACTGTAGAAATTATAACAATCTTTGCCAACCAAATGGAGGATATCCTATACAGGAGATCATATGATGACTTGTTTCAACTGTCAAGATCAATAGTGATGGGGTTTCCTTCAAGATGCTCTGCAAATTTCTCAAGAATGTCCTTCACAACTTCCCCAAACTCATTTCTCCCAAATTCAATGCTACTTCTCCCATTATCTACATCGGCAAATACTTGATCATAAAGAAGAATCACTGCTTCATTGGTTTCTGATGATGGTAGCCCCAAATCTGGCCCATTTTTCTGAAGAAAAGCCCGAATTTTTTCAGTGCTCCCTTTTCCATCTTTGCTTGCACATTGATCCTGGAACATTTTCTCTATCACATTGTTCAATTGCTCCTGATCGGCCAACAACTGCATTATTTTTCTCAAGTCCATCAATAATATTTTTAACTTAACCCTTCAATCAGAGCCATGGACAATGTTTCATTGTAAATTAAATCATTACCTTTATTTCTTTAAAAGATCAGATAGAAAATCAAGAATGCCATTTATGACGAAAGAAAGAAAGTAATGATAATAAACCTAACCTTTCTCAGCTTAGAACCATTGATGATCTTGATATTCTGGATGACAACGACATGCTTTTCAGCCAGGGCATCTGCTAGTTGTCGTAAAACAAGATGGAGCAATTCTGCAAATTGTGCCTGACCCACCATGTTGTCGCCCTCTGCTCCATTCTCTTTAAGGAAGTCGTTGAGAAGAGGGAACTCTGTTCAAAAACAGATGGCAATGTTACAGAATTTCTGTACCCAATTGTTTATTGCTTGAGAGTGGATTTTGTTTCATTCGTTTGAGATGTAGCTGACTGTAAATAGTGTGAAGGTATAATTATCAATTGGCAAGCTGAAGATCTGGCCCGGAACCAGGATTATGGGTATTTACAGATCTCTCTTTTTGTGGGGGCTGGAACAGGCAGCTTTTTAGCTTGGGAGTCAGCACCGTGCTAGAATGCTGAGGCAGTGTTACCCTGTAAACTAGCGATTTGAACTTCAGGCTCCATTTATTTCACTATAGGAGGGCTGGAAAACTTTAAAATCCAAAATATTTTAATCATATTCTGCCCCTCTTAAAATAAAATTGTCTCTTCTATATGGAATCAAATGCAGCTTCATCAGATGGTAAACTTGGCAATACATATCTTTATGACTCCCAAATAAGAATTTGACTTTTAATTTGATAAATACTTTGCAGGAACTTAAGTGCCACCAGAAACTTTATATAAATGTTGACATGAGATGCTCATAAGAGCAAACCATAGATGTTCATATTAAAAATTTAATAATTAATTACCACAGAGAGAATAGATAGCAGCAAGAGCAAAAAAGTTGATCTATCACAAAGGTCTACAGTATGGATGCATTGCTTGATATGATGGTAAAATCTTTAGATAATCAGGACCTCCCCTCCCAAATGTTAGAACATACAATCAAGCTTGAGAGTGGCCACTCCTCCTTAGACCCCAGATAACGCGCGGAGCAGGGAATTAGCCTTATTTTTGTAAAACTTTAACTGTGAAATGTGCAAATACAGGTGCAACTGATCTGATGTATTAATCTCTTATTGCATCAACCTGTAGATGGGTGTGGAAACCCCATAACTTGCCACCAGTCCCATGTTTCAAAAATCACTGAAACAGGACTCATTGTCGAATAGGTCCCAATTAAAATAATAGCTGTACCATAAATCAACATAACCGGATGTGTTTAACTATCTTAATTGGAGATCATTTGTAGAACTTCTTTGTAAATTTAAAAAAAAAAAATATTCCCACCATCCATCTTAAGTTTAAGAACTTTTGTTGGCCTTCTTGTTCGATACGGGAAACCCTAACATGGATATGCTAGAATACTGATATTATGTTCCTTCTTACTCACCTGATTCATGCAAATGCAAGAATACTGACACCAATTCTAAGTTCCTAACACATGGCTTTTCATTGAACTTAACACCCCAGGGATCATATCCCATCATTCCGTGTCAACAATTAGAAACATTTGATCCACTGATATATATGACGCAAGCAATTTAAGAACCAAAATACAAACAAAGTCAAGCAGACTAACTTGTGTTATGCAGAAATCGAAGAATCCGTATTCGCTTGCAGATGATTAAATCCTAAGTTGCATAATTAGGGAAAAAAAGATTCACCATTTCTACAGAAAACACGAGAAGGTGAAGGTCAACCTGAAAAAGGAGGAACTCCCATTTCCACTCCCATACGGACAAGACCATTTCTAATTTCACTTTTTCTGATCATCCCCTTATCCTCTTCATCTAATTCAGTGAAGAGATCCTCTGCCAGCATCGCAAAATCATCTTCATCCTCCATGAATAGTTTAAGTATAACTCCGTCCAAAACGGACACAACAAGTGGATCATCTGTGCAAGAGATTCAAACATAAGCAAAACCTTTTTCTGCATTTCGGTGTTATCTGGATTGAAGGAACACAATTTACAAGAAGAAAGAGTAAATAGAAAATTTTAAATTACCTATCAGTTCATCGGCAATGGCGATCACGTACTCTTTCAGCTTCGAAGAAGATTGTTCTCTGTCGAGTTCCGTAGAACGGAAGCTAACGGGATCAATGTTTATCCGTTTAAGTGCGGCGGCCTTTAAATGCTCCGGCAAGGCGATGCCAAACAACGAGGAAGAAGCTTTGGCTTCTGCTATTTCAAGAACCTGAGCTCCAGTAATGGCGCCATCAATTTCTGGGAGTAGGACATCGACGGATCTGAGACTTGCTCCGTCAAGAATCTTCATACCTCCGTCGTTCATTTCAAAGGAGTAGATAAAAGACGAATTAGATTTGCAGAGGAGAAGGACGAAGACGTCGAAGGGGTGTCTCTCAGCTTCGCTTCCGTCGCTTCAGTTTCCGTTCCTTGGCGTTGGAGCGGCAAGACAAGGTAGTCCGTCAGGACTCAAGTGGTCAGGTGGTGTAAACGGTAAAGCAAGCCACGAATATGACCCCTTTAACATTTGGAAATTGCGAAAATGCCATTGCCTTTCATGCAATAATTATAATATTGCTAGAAAGTAGAGTAGAGAGGATCGGGTTGGGCAGATTCCAAGTTTCCAACCCAACCATCCGGGTTGGCACACCATGTCTCTTCGAAACCTGGATTTACTAGGATTGATTTGATTATTCAGTAATCCATATTTTTTGTATTTGACTTGACCCGACCTTAACCAAAATGGTAGGAGTAGGATGTTAAGAAAGTATCGTAGAGGAAGTGGTAAATAGGTAATTTAAATAAGACAGAGAAAGGTAAAACCCAAAGAAAGAAAAAAGGTGGGGACCAGTACCATTGGGAGCGGGGGCCATGTTACAGGTGCACCTACTGGGGACTGGGGACTATAATTTTGGTGCTTTGATTGCCGTTGATGACTCTTCCCACGCGTTTTCTTTCCATAATCTATATATTCAAACTTCTAGGTCTCTTCCTTGCCACTTGCCAGCGTTCGTTTCACCTACTCTTTTCCTTTCTTTTTTACATATAAGGCAATACAACGAACAAATTAAAGGGCAAAACACGTCAGACATATGTGGGGCCACCCTTTAATGTTAGATTATCTCTCATTGGGCGGTCTACCCACCAGATTGCCCCCCCTCAACGTTTTACAATACATCCCCGCCCTCTATTGTGAACATCTCCCAATGACGACATTATCAAGAGATGTGCTATGGAACGTTTCTGGAGGACAATCTTGTGGGGCCAGATTAATGTTTTTAAAAGTTTGGTTTCGGTCCGTTCGAGCAGCTTTTACTGATTTGTACTGAAAATATCTCCATACTTTTTATGGGGAGATATTTTCGATGCAAGGTTGTAAGAAGGCTGTTAGAACTGTGTGGGTGAACACGCGTTTGCCCTGACGGAAGCGGATCTCTGTTAGAACGGTGTGGTTGATCCCGATGGTCAAATTGTTCGAACTATCATCGTTCGATATGATTTTCTAGGTCCGAATTTTTATTTTTAAATTCGAGATTTCAAAAAAAAATGTTGACTTAGATGAAAATCCAATTTGGCTCCGTCAATTGAATCATTGGCCTGTTGTATGAAATCGCATCCAGAAAATTTTGTGTACTCGCCAATAGAAAAATGCAACTTCAAGAAAACTTTTCAAATTCTAACTTAACGGAGTTAATATTGAAGTCTCTGGATTCCAAAAAAAAAAAATTATTTTTAAAGACCCGCTCACTGTCCAGAGATCGGCTTTGCTCTGACTGAATCCGGACTGTCCATCACTTCAGTCCCCTGCTTCTCTCTTCCCCCTCCATTCTTCACATTGCCACTCAAACCACTGCAATTTCCGTCGGCCATTTTTCCACCCACGTTCCTCACTCTCTCCACTCCATTCTTCTTCAACTGAACACTGTCACCGTTGAACCACTGCAATCTCCGCTGACCGTTTTTTCCACCCACGTTCCTTTCCTTCCCCTGTTTTTCTCTCACAAGCTTCTCTCTCTCTCTCTCTCTCTTCTCCATGGCGGTACAGACTTGCTTAAGGGTATCATAGTTCAAAAGTATCCAGATGGAAGGGTGTCGTGGATCCACCAAATCAACCAAGAGGATTGTTGTTGATGACAAGATTGAATTCAACAAAGTATGCCGGAGGACCCTCTCTCCACGTGTTGACCTGGTATACAATCAAAGAAGTGGGGTAGAAAAGAAGAAAGAAGGAGAGAGAGCGAGAGAGCAGTTCGAGGGAGTAAAAGCAGGGGAGAGAGAAGAACGTGGGTGAACACATGTAGCCGGTGGAGGAAGAGCGAAATTGGCAGGGGGGAGAGAGAGAAACCAGTGGACAGTGGAGGAACAAAGCTGGAGAGAGAGAGAGGGAGATGCAACCTGGCGGCGGTGAGGGAAGTGTTAGGTGGAAGAAAGAAGAAAGGGGTGAGACAGCGAGAGAGAAGAGTCAGACAACCAAGACAAGATTGAGCGGGCGGGTTTTACCTTTTAACAAATTTTAAAAGACTTTGGAGTCCAGACGTCCGTTAAATCTGGTCCGTTAGTCTTAAAACTCATACGTGACATGGCATTCTCTCATTCACGTAAGCAGAAGGTTTTCTACAGACTATGTGAACTGCTGTTTTATTTATATGTGTATTCGGTTATCTAATTGAGGTGATCCTTTATGTGTTGGGTAAATTTTTAGATCCATGTCTTAAGGTGTTGAAGGTGCCTTTGTCTAGACCCTGACCTGAATGATGGATCCACGAATCAGTCCAGGGAAAAAAATGTTGAGGAAACAGCGTGCATAATCCTAAACATCTCTTAAAGCATTGGTATTTAGTAGAGCTGTACTTTGTTGCTATTGTTGAATGTTGATACAATTTCTAGTAAAAACCAGTTTGGTAAAGACAACAATACAGATTTGTTATTAAAAAACAAAAGACAAACCAGTAAGATTAAAGGATTTCATATGGTTCAATTAACCAGGATCTGAACCAGAAATGATAACCTAGGGTTCAGTTTAGGAGGAATACAAATACAAATACATATGTACGGTGCAAAATTTTATTTTTTTTTTATATTATTTTACATGTATTTGTACTGTACATATTTGCGTTTGTACTCTTTCTAAATTTAGCCTAAAAAAAAAAACAAAATTACCTTAAACAATATTATAATGGTGCAAGTGCAACATAACCACCATTGACATTAATGGGTGAATACCTACGAATTTCCAAAAGCATGAAACAGGAAAGGTGATTCCAATAATATATGCAAAACCAGTGGTTTACTTTTTATGATAAATTTCAAGGATTCTACAAGGGTGACCAATAGGTTTGACTTGTTCCAGGAATAATGACAGCAATACACACTATGCTCTGTTTGTTTGGAGTGCAATTTCATCTGTTACAAAGTATAAATCACAATAGTGTAAATTTTGGTTCGTTTTTATTTGGATTTTATTTTGTTTTGCTTTGACTTTTACTTGTTTACACTGTAAGCAACAAAACAAAGTATAGTTTAAAGCAAAAAAAAAAAACATATTTTGCATTCAACTCGTTTTAACTCTTATACTATTACACCAATGCAAATGAAATTGCATCACAAATAAGCCAGGACTTAATGAAATAAACTAAAGGAAAAGAGAAAGGGTAGCGTAACAAAGAATTCAGCACCTTGTGCGTCAAGGGTAGAAAAAATAAACATTAAAAACCGGCTTTTCAAATAAAAAAATCAGCAACGAATTTATGGGTCATGGTCCATGTAATAAAAAATACCGCCAAAAGGAAAAAGGTAATAAGGGTGGCAAAGTTGCGATTGGGTAAGTTTGGGCGGGTTGGCTTCAACCCGCCAACCCATTAATTTGTTAAGTCATTAAAAACAGTAAAAATGTTGAAATTATAAAAAAATACATAAATGCAAAAAAAAATACAAATTATAAGAAATATAAAAAAAATATCATAAACATAGAAAAAATAATAATAGAAATTGTAGAATTATAGAATATATAGAAAATGAAAAAATTTAACAAATAAATACAGAAAATTGTATATACATATTAAATACATTCAATTTACCTCTCATTAAATCACACATTTAAGTCATTAAATAAATCACATTCCCTCTCATTGAATCCAACATTTATACTTTTCTTTATCATCATTAAATTTCACTAATAAATCCATACACAATAATTATTAATAGAATGAAATTTTATATTTTAAAATAAACATAGAAATGAAATCATACTTTTCATCTAGGTGGTGGGTAAATAGTTCAACCATTTGGGTCAAATGGATAATTTCATGATGTCATAAATAAATAATACAAGTTTAGAAATATAAAAAATACTTTTGTTTATCATCATTAAATTCTATTAATAAATCCATACACAATAATTATTAATAGAATGAAGTTTTATATTTTTAAAATAAACCTAAAAATGAAATCATATTTTCTATTTAGATCATGAGTAAGTACTTCAACCATTTGGGTCAAATGGATAATTTCATGATGTAATAAATAAATAATACAAATTTAAAAATATAAGAAATACGAAAAAATATAGAAAAAAAAAGAAATTTTGAAAAATATTGGACATATTTATATTATTATTATATATGTCATATTAAAAAATAACTATGATAAAATAGATACAATTTTATTAATGATGGACATCAAATATACAACTTAAAACCGATGGAAAATTAAACCATCTTCCTAATAATAATGGATTGTCATTTAAACAATTATGAAACAGTTTCTAATAGATTAATTTCCTAATTTAATTTTCCTAAATTTTTAATAATTATTTAGTTGAATAATAATAACGGATTATTATATAAATAGTTTTGGAGAACATTTTTCATAGATTAATTTCTTATTTTTTTAATTCTATTAACCATTATTAAAAATGAGAATGATCATTGGCTCTTCATTGAACACCCTAATTTTTATTTCCAATTTTATCCCTATTAATAATACAAACAACCAAACTAACCCCCTGGTTTTTATTTCCAATTTTACCCCTATTAATAATACAAAAAGCCAAACTAACATATACCTATTATATCTACTAACCATTATTAAATATTTAAATAAAAAATTAAAAATTTAAAAATGAAAATGATCAATTCTCTTGGTAGATCACCTTGATTTTTATTTACAAATCTACCCCTATTAATAATACAACTTTGAATGGATTGACAGCCAATCTAGAAAATTCACAAGTTTCTATTTTACCCTTATATACAATAGAGACAAGTACCCTAAAAAGATGAATACATGGACATCCAAATTCTCCACGTAATGGTTACCCTATTAAGGTAGTCATGATGTTGGTTAAATTTTTATCAACCCTGATTTTTATTTCCAATTTTACCCTTATTAATAATACAAAAATTCAAACTAACACATACCCCATTATTTTAAAAATTTTAAAAATAGAATGATCAATGGCTCTTCACCGAACAACCAAACTAACATATA